CGAGGAGGTTAGCTCGCCCGAGCATATCGATCAGGCACACATAATGCTCCAGACGTGGCTTGACTCCATACTGCTTGGGCATTTCATCCAGAAGCAGCCTTCCTTTCCCGACCAGACCACCATGGCTGCAAGCGTTCAACACCGAGACAAAACTCACATCGTCAGCTTTACAGCCCTCCTCCTGAGTCATGGAATAGAAACGCTCCAAGGCCTCGATGGATCGGCCCTGGAGAGTGTAAGCCTGTATGAGAGAGTTCCAGAGACCCGTGTTGTCCCGAGCTCGGCACTCGTCAAACGCTTCCTGAGCAGAATCAACATCTCCGCATTTGCCGTAGAAGCTCACCAGGCTGGAGCCCAGAACTGGATCGTTTTTCAGCAGCCCTTTATGCTTCGCCAGCTGGTGAATCTCCCTCCCGAGCTTGATCGCCATCACACTCCCGCAAGCAACAAGGACGCAGGTGTAGGTGCAAGCATCAGCTTGAATGGTTTTATCAGCTCTCAGGGCAGAGTAGTACTCCAGAGCAAGTTCAGCTCGCCCGTTCGTGTTGCACCCCTGGATGATCGCGGTGTAGGACACAACACTCCGAGTTTCCATGGAGTGGAAAATCTTGCGAGCCTCCTCAAGCTCGCCACACTTGCAGTACATGTCTACCAGGCAATTCGCCACGAACAGATCTACCTGTTTCTTCTCCTTGCTCAGCATTGAATGGATCTCCATCCCGATGCGTAGAGCTCTCTCCCTCTTCTCGCTGGATTCGGTAGCAAGTGTGGAGCAGGCGCTGATCACCGCGACATGAGTCCGATCGTTGGGTTGAATGGTGGTACAAGCTCTCAGGGTAGAGTAGTACTCCAGAGCAAGTTCAGCTTGCCCGTTCGAGCCGCAGCCCTGGATGATCGCGTTGTAGGACACAACACTCCGGGTTCCCATGGAGTCGAAAATCTTGCGAGCCTCCTCAAGCTCGCCACACTTGCAGCACATGTCTACCAGGCAAGTCGCCACGAACAGATCTAGCTGTTTCTTCTCCTTGCTCAGCATTGAATGGATCTCCATCCCAATGCGTAGAGCTCTCTCCCTCTTCTCGCTGGATTCGGTAGCAAGTGTGGAGCAGGCGCTGATCACCGCAACATGAGTCCGATCGTTGGGTTGAATGGAGGTACAAGCTCTCAGGGTAGAGTAGTACTCCAGAGCAAGTTCAGCTTGCCCGTTCGAGCCGCAGCCCTGGATGATCGCGTTGTAGGACACAACACTCCGGGTTCCCATGGAGTGGAAAATCTTGCGAGCCTCCTCAAGCTCGCCACACTTGCAGTACATGTCTACCAGGCAAGTCGCCACGAACAGATCTACCTGTTTCTTCTCCTTGCTCAGCATTGAATGGATCTCCATCCCGATGCGTAGAGCTCTCTCCCTCTTCTCACTGGATTCGGTAGCAAGTCTGGAGCAGGCGCTGATCACCGCGACATGTGTCCGATCGTTGGGTTGAATGGTGGTACAAGCTCTCAGGGCAGAGTAGTACTCCAGAGCAAGTTCAGCTTGCCCATTCGAGCCGCAGCCCTGGATGATCGCGTTGTAGGACACAACACTCCGGGT